CAAACACCCAACCACAAACACGCAACCACCAACACAACCACAAACACACAACCACAAACACACAACCACAAACACACAACCACAAACACCACACCACAAACACACAACCACAACCACAACCACAATTGCAAGCACACAATGACAAAGACAACCGCAAACACACAACCACAAACACAATCACAAACACACAACCACAAACACACGACCACAAACACACAACCACAGCACACAACCCGAGGACCCACAAGCAAAATCGAGAACTCCAATACTCACGACCATGGCAACATGCTCCTCACTATGGCATCAAAACATATGATTGAAATGTCATGGTGGGGATGACTCGAAGTAAAGTAATTATCACACCACCGCTGATTCATCTTCTGTTGTGAACATCCTTTGCTCCATTTTTCTGAAGCAACCTATGTTTCTTCAAGCGAAACTGGGCGCTTGGCCCAGTTTGGTGTTAGATCTCCTGATGCAACCTTCGAGATTCATCTCGTGGTCGGAAATTGGACAAATTGGCTCTCACTGTAACTCAAGAGGCTTTGCAAAGAATCTCAGGCAAGCTGGTGTTGACTGGTAGAACTAACGACTGACCGCCAGGCAGAGGTGCTCTTGCGCAAGATCATACGACACTTGTGGCCTTGGCAGTCGCTGTCGGTTCTCCACGGGGACCTTGCCAGGGTGTATACTGAGTGTACCAGGTTCCACAACTTGGTGCGTTGTGTGCCCAAAGAGTTGGGCGCTTCTCACGAACTGAACCCATGGCTCCAGAGAAGTTGCAGATGTTTGCAAAGATTGGGATAGATTAGAGTGATTCTCATCTAAAGTTCTAGACACGCACTGTACCTTCTTCTCGTTAATCTGCAAAAACATCCACCCACCTTGGTCAACTTTGAGTCGATTGAAAAAGAAGCGGCCAGCCAGACTAGTGCAATTTGCCGATATAGAAAGAGATCATTTGGTTTCGATCTCTTGAATCTGGACCCACAAATCGGGACTTTGTGCGATTCTGCGTGGTGCAGTGATGCACTGAGGTATGCGCACCACCCTCGGTTCAGTGTCATCGACGAAGACGAGGGTCCTTGGGCCAAAGGATCGATAGATGAGGTGTATTTTAGGTCAGGGTATGAGGGATCTAGGGTATGTAGCGTTGGGTCAGGAAAAAGATGAAAGAGGGGTATCAAGGAAGCGGATGATGTTGGAAGCAATCTCCACTCTGACTCACCAACATGGAAGTGGAAACCCCTTCTTGCTTGCTCATGTCTTTCCAGGGGCAATTTCTACTTCCATGTTCAACAAAAATCAACGAGCCAACCTGTATCAACCCATGGCTTGTCCAAAAGTCTCACTTAGTCAACCCTGGGCGCCTTGATGCTTGATCAAATCTGAGCTGGATCGATGTTTGATTCCATGATGTGATGCAATGATTCAGCATGTGGCATTAGCCCAACCTGTTTTGTGAGTGTGATGTCTCGGTATGTTGTGCCGCTGTCATTTGATGGAGTTTGATGTCGCGACGTTGCGTCCACAGTAAGCGCTGTGATGTGAAGCGATGAAATGTGGTGAGATTTTGTGAGATGTCGTACAATGCTATGATGTCGTTGAGGTTCTCCAGCAGGCGCGTGTGAACGAATGCAAGGTATAAATACGGTCATGATGCAGCATTCAGCCATCCCACCATCTTTGGCCTCACCCAAGCTCTTTCCTTAGTCCTGCACTCGGTTTACTGATATGCTATTCTAATTTAGTTGTTTAATTCATGACTAACTAACTATTATGTAGCTGAACTTCAATGTTAATTTAACTTTATTGCTAATTCAATTCTACTTTGGTTCTGATTTCATGTTCATTCTATATAGAGTAGTTTTGAGCAGAATTCAAATTGTGCTGCATTGCATGTTTTAACATCTAATCCAGTCCAGTTCATGGTATTTTCGATTTGATTTTGTTGATTGTATTGTAATCTTATTTAATTCTATATATGAAAGATCCAACGTTAACAAATGATTGATACAAAAGCAAGACCAGAGGGTTGTCTCAGAATGAGCTTCCTCCAACCGCGGCAGCAGGAAAGAGAACACATATCGACTGAGCCGTGAAACTCGAGGCGAAGCTTACTTGAGCAAATAGGATTGGACGAGTCTGGTATCCAACTAAGAAGTTGGGGGTTGAGTCCAGTTTCCCGTTTACATTTTTGTTGGTAATGGCTTCATTTCAATCCAAATGCCCTCGTGGCATGAGTTGGTTGGGTGCCCACTTGACTCCATGCGCCAAACTGCGGCCGCGACTGCATGGGGACTGCAAATGACTGCAATGCTATTTGGGGTCCATGCTGGTGTAATGAAATGTTTTGTTGGAACAGACGTTGGTTCTAATTTAATTCCAATCTAGCTCAATACTGCTTGAGTTTCGTTCAAACTCAGTTTAACTCTAATGCAACGGCAGCTCAAACTTAATCTATCCTTAATTTGATACATTTTAACAGCGTATTCTGTATTCTGAAAGAAATGTAGTTTAAATACAAACTACGTTCGGTTCATTTGCACAGTTGACTCTAGTTTGAGTTCATTTATACAGTAGTTTATATAGTTCTGTTTGACTAGTTTATTTGGGGTGCAGCTTACCATAAGTGCAGTTCTCTTCAACCCAAATCTAAGTGCAGCCGAATTTAACTTCAAAATTTAATCCAGGTTACTTGTAGCTCGCTTTATCAAATCACATTTTATTTCTAAGAGTTATTTCAACTTTAATCAGTTCAATCTTCAGTTACATCAAATGTTGTTCTTGTGCTAGCTCAATTCTAGTTCGTTGGCTCTAACTTGGCTCTAACTCCGTTCTAATTTACTTTTCTAGTGTAACTTGATTCAACTTCCCTTCACTTCACAGTCACTTCCAATTAAGTTTCAATTTGACTCCAGCCTACTTAATGTTAACTCAGTTCTTACTGATCTCTAACCTGTTAAGTTTCAATATTGATTTTGCGCCAAGTTACTTCAATCCTAGTTTCTTTCCAATTTGGGGCGAAGTGATGTAATTCCAAAAAGACGTTCAGTTTTGACTCAGCTTGCTTCGGTTTCAGCCCTAACTTTTCCCAATTGTTTTTTCAGTTACTTTGGTTTCGAAAATACTTTAGGTTCCATTGTAAGTTTAAGGTAGTTCTGACTGATTTTGATTCCTTTTAGGTCAAACTTAGTTTAGATCGAATTCAGTTGAAATTAATTCCAGTCTTAGTCTGGTTCCAATGAACTGCTATGTTTCTGTTGTCTACATGCAACTTGGTCCTAAAAGGTTCTAATTTAGTGCAACTTCTATTCTACTTCAGTGTGTTGGGACCTGGTCTAAGTCTAAGTCAATCCAAACTAATACAATTTGACGTTTTAGATTGACTTGGTTATATCTTATCTTGTTTAATCTTCATTTAGCTCTAGTGCAATTTGTTTTGCCTAATTAATTTTGAAGCAACTGATAAAACTTTCCACTGCACATTTGGCCTCACCTACCATCCACCATTTGCAGTTTTTGTTTTGCCAAGTCGCAGGATCACGTTGTTGCTCTGTGATTTGTTGGGTTGTTCCCAGCCAGGAAGCGCGCACACCACCACCTGTTTGAAAGGACCAATGTTGCCATCAACGTTGCAGTGGCGCAGCGCAATAAGCTGAAAATGTTCCAAGTGCTTCTTGCCTGCCCAAAGTCTGAGTTTGGTTTGGGTTCCATTTCCATCCACGGTTTTTGGTTGGATTTGGTTGGCCCACAACAGTTTTATAGAAGAGCGTCTTAGAAACAATGTCGCACACGAGTGCCCTACGAGAGCGTCCTGCACGAGTGTCACACATATATTCAGATTGTCCGGCACTCGGGCTCCGGTGGGTTCAATCTGATTTAATTGTGTGTCTTCGAAGAGTTTGTGCTCCATTCCCTCACTGCAATGCTGCACTTTGCTGCAAGTGCCGCACACCGCCGGGACTGCTTGATAGGCTTTGCGAGGTGCAGCTGCTCAAAGTGTTATACAATATACCGCCGTGTGCAGTTTCATGACCTTCATTTGTATTTTTCGTCGCCAGTCCAACCGTTATAAACACAATTTGATCAAGAATACACACTGATAAAACCTTCACCACGAGCCACTTGTCCAACAAAGTTCACTCACCCAGATGTTTTTTGAAACATCAACAACCTTGCAATCGGCACACCCATGACAAGCCGAAAGTCTCTGAATGGTTGGGGCAGGCATGGGAGAAGGTTGAAAAGGAGCGTGGCAAGGTCCATGCATGATCAGCCAAGAAGCTACTAGTAACAAAGGGCATCGCTAGGAGCAAGGACGCTACTAGGGATTCCTGGCCTTACTACTAGGAGCAAGGACGCTACTAGGGGCTCCTGGCATCGCTAGGAGCAAGGATGCCACTAGGGGCTCCTGGCCTTAGGACGTTAGTAGGGGCTCTTGGCATCGCTACTAGGAGCAAGGACGCTACTAGGGGCTCCTGGCATCGCTACTAGGAGCAAGGACGCTACTAGGGCTTGTGGCATCGCTACTAGGAGCAAGGACGCTACTAGGGGCTCCTGGCCTTACTACTAGTAACAAGGACGCTACTAGGGGCTCCTGGCCCTACTAGGAGCAAGGACGCTACTAGGGGCTCCTGGCATCGCTACTAGGAGCAAGGACGCCACTAGGGCTCCTGGCCCTACTACTAGGAGCAAGGACGCTACTAAGGGCTCCTGGCCTTACTACTAGGAGCAAGGACGCTACTAGGGGCTCCTGGCCCTACTACTAGGAGCAAGCTCCTGGCCTTATTAATAGGAACAAGGACGCTACTAGTAACAAAGGGCATTCTCTCTTTCCTGTCGATATGGTGACATCAACCACTCGGATCCGCCCCTGCGCCCGTGCACCCAAGCGATAGGTGTGTTCTTAATTTGTCACAACTCGGGTTTTTCTCTTCCCCACTTCCTTTGACCATTCAGTTTTGATAGGTTACAGTTTTCAATCTCAAATATATGTCCAACCTTTGAATGTTGAAGGTGTCGTAGCTCAAACCGATCAAGCGCTTGAAATCAATCTTTTCACAATTAGAAAGAAGGCGTTTAAAAACATACAGATACCAAGCACCATCGGGCACCCACAATGGGGATTGTCTCCCGAGATCTTGCCCCATCGCCCATCGAGGCCCCACCTTTCAAATCATCCGAAACCTCGTGAGGCCCGGATGTGCCATGAAACCTCGTGCGGCGAGTTTTTTGGGAAGTAGATGAAGTAGGTGAGTACACAGATTGTTGCTGTGGGCGTGCTGAGACTTCATGATGTTTCTAGTGATGTTTCTAAATGTATTTGGGGTTTTGTCAGTGACTGTTCAGGACTAGTGGTAGAAGCTGAAGGATTATGTTTGGAAGATTGTGCGGCAAGCATCCTTGAGGGACGATCGCATCGGCAATGGTGCTCTAGCCGGTGCTATCCCACTCTGTCAGCCATCAAACTGAAGCAAGAGGAGCATACCAAGCTGTTGCCGCAACATGCCACCGAAGCCACCTGTGAACATCCAGCACGTGAGTGCTTGCTGAAGTCTCCGACACCTACACCTCTTGATCGCAAAATAAGCCAAGTCGTTCAGGTACTGTAGCTTTTACACCTGATCCGTTGCAAGGAATGCTCCTGAACCACTGGGAACGATACTCTTGGGTTCATGATGCTTTCTTGAGGTTGGCTGCAGATTGCAGCCTTATGTCTTTTCTTCAACAGTCTTAATACGATACTCTTGCGTGGCACCATGCAAAATATGATGTCAACACTGGTTTGCATTCAATTGCTAAATGGCAACACCACCTCACGTTTGGTCCATGTCAGTCATCTGGAACCACAGTTGTTCGCTGTTTTGCTTTGTGGGGTGACCCACCATGGGTGATCCACCGTGGGTCTTTGACCCATTCGGCTCATTCAGATCGCTCGCCACGCAGGTCTTCTGATCCGGTTCCTTGGGCAAAATGGATGCAGCAGACTGTGAGTCCATTTCCACCATGAACGGTTGAAGCTCAGTGAACATACCACGTTACTACCATTGATAGAGATCCCTCCAGCAAGATCTTTTTGTTCCAATCTCAGAATGTGGATCAACCAGAGTATTTTGACCCAACAGCAGGGTGTCCACCACTTCCTGTGGCGAACCTCTCCGCCAGTAAGGCGCCTGTGGATGAAGACCATGACCGGACTTTACACGTTTCGGATGTCCATCACATCACGCCACTTGGTGGAGACCCCAACAGACAGGCCAACAGACACGTGTTTTGCCGTGCTCGGCTTCGTTGGGGATGCTTCCAGAAGCGATCTGTCACAAATGTGTTGTCGGTCCAAACACACTGTTTGACCCTGCCAGGCTGTGACCACAGGGGTATGAATCGAATGATGTTGACCCAATTAGAGCGGTATGAACAGTAATTGACCTGGCGATCAGCAAACAAGCACAGTGGTTTGGCAGCGTTTGAGTGCCCGCCACCAGTTAGCACTATGTCGGACAGCGTTGATAGACTGGATCTGAGATAGACATGACGTACCGAAAAGGGACGACAAACAAATAATACGTGATGCCCCCAGTTGTGTGAGCGGCTTTGCTTTGAACAGACCGTAGCTGCAGCTGCAGCTTGACAGAGCTGAGGATTGCATTGTTCAATCTGCTGGACACTGCAAGGCGAGGCGATGTGAGATGCAACGGTGCGTCGGTACATGGCTTCTCCCACCCTGTGCGTGTTGAGGGGAGGAAGAGGCGCTCCATTCGCGGTGAGGAGAGAGTCGTGTATTGTCACTTCGTCCTGAAGAGCAGAGCTATTCTCTTCAGACTTCAGACCTCGGCCGCCTCGGCCTTTGTAATTCCAAGAAACCCTTGGCCGGAAGGGGATTTGTTGAAGAAATACATCAGATGGTCGCAAGCCCATTGGCGGTTCACATTTCAGTCTTACGCCCACTGACTCACCGACTCCTGCAATTCCTGTTTTTCCTCCGTTTTTGATTCAAGACACCATTTGCGTACGACGATTGAGGGAAAATACTACCGCAGTTGAATGGACATGCAACACAGCGCACACAGCGCTAGTTTTCTGCACTTCGCGCCGGATAATGTCCTCAACTAGTATGGCAACATGACCCATGGCGGAAGAAGAAGCCACAGATGTAAGTATGCAGGATTTGTTGTATTTGCTTCAGGCACACAGTGGCTGGTGCCCGAATAATCAAGCATCTTGGCAGCGAGTGGAAAGAGACGAGTGTCCTCGTGGAAGAAATGTTGAAACAATTGTTTCGTGGAGCGACTTTGCAGGGTTGAGGATCCAGGGTTAGCAGAGCTCGTCCAGCAAAACTAACACAAGATGAGGTTCAAACAACTTGTTCATGAGATCTCGGCCTCTGCCGTTCTGCGACCAATCAATCTACGGTTCAACAATCAAATTCACGAAAGGTAGCCTCAGGCTACCTGAGTTCTCCTTTTGCTTTAGCAAAAATGTGGTGTAACCAGGAATTGGAGATTTGCCTAGAGTTTGGTGCTGTAAGGAAGGATTCTTAATCGATGGCCCGTATCCAATGCGTGTACCGCATCACTCTGAGCACCGGGTCACAACGTGAGATTGGGGTGCCTCTGGGCGCCTGCTACCTTTCGTTCACCCCTTCCTCTCTCAAGTGTTCAATGAAACTCCAATCCAAGCGCTGCAGGGGATAGGTTTGGGGGATGCGTCAACGATCAAATTTTGATCGCCCATCATTTTGATCAAGCTGCAACAAGAAAATACAATATCTTTTCACCACAACTGGATATTTTTGACCTCGCAACCCACAGCCATTTGGTCCATCGAAGGTGCCAAGGTAGACTCCGATGGCTTGAGATCCGCGCAGCGGGAAGAATGCTTCTAGGTCCTAGTTCTTTTATGGTGCACTTTTCTACACTCAATGGCTGAAGTTTCAGTCAACAAACACTCCCACTCTTGGTTTTGGTGCTGCACCGGCAATTTTGTTTGATTAATTTTCGCAGATCTTCACGTGGTTTATCTACCCAAATAAATCTCCGGTGGGTTTGAAACATTGAAACTGCAGATCAGATTGCACAACGCCCAAGAGGTCGTTACGGGAGTCTCGTTTGAAGCGGGTCTAGGGGGTTGTGGTTTGTGTCATATACTTTGAAATCGGTATGTCAAGCCAAATTGGGCCCACAAAGCCCACAAATAGCAGCTCACAAAGCCCACAAATAGCAGCTGCATCTTTTGCGGCTGCTTCAGGGCAACGATGCAAGCCCGCAACCTCCTCTAACCCTGTACCCGCAGCAACCTCTGCAAAACTTAAGGAATCTTTAGGAATCCTCGATGCCCTGCCGAAACACCACACATGCCCCTCTCACTCAGACGATGGCTGGCTTATAGCTGGAGCTTTATGTTGCTGCTCTTCCGTGGCTTGTTTCGAAGCTGGCGCTGGCTGTGCTCGTGGGAGGAATTCAGCGGCAGATTTGGCGGGGGGGAGAACAGAAATACGCTTTTTGGAAGCCTCGAATGTTTCCACGATGTTTCCATGAAAATGAACTTGGATGTTGAGAATTTGTTGCGTCCTAGGAAGGGTTGACTAATGCCCTCACCAAACCTACAAGGCATCAAGGAAAGCTATTGTGATGTGGGAAGTCTTTTGACACAATACATCCAAGTGCAGAATCCCTATTGCCAATGCAACTCTAATGCATTTGGGGAGGAACCTCCAAACGGCACCCGGGAAAGACGAGCACTCCAGCAACATGTTGGGTAAACAGGTTTGCCCGGAAAACATGCAGGCTAGAAAAACATACGTGTACAGGATGTTGCCTTTGCCAATCAACTTATCGTTTTGGAGTTTATGACACAAGTTGATTTTCAAGACAGCACATCAGCGCATCATCCCGTAACGCATCATCATTCATCATCCATCATCCATCATCCATCATCATCTTCTTCAGCGAAATAGACCATCTCCATCCCGCCAGACCATGTTGGGTCGGAAAGGTGTCCTTTTCCAGGCAAGGTCTCGTTGACCCGTTGACCCGTTCGGCCAGGTTTTGCCATCTTGCTCTTTGCCATGCTGATGCGACGAGACTCGCTTTTCCGACCCGACGAAGCCCACCCACCGGTTTTTGGGACACCAGTGACGTAGTATGCAGTGAACGTGGTTAACGTGGTTTAGCTTGAGGCTGACTGACGACCTGTCCACCCGGTCTTCTGTCTTTTCTGCCTACAAATTCAGTCAACCAAGTTTCCCTGGGCAAGCTGGGCAAGCTTAAAGGTTTGCATGTTGTTTTTTCAAGTGTTTGCGCAGTCCTCTGACACCAGTCCCAATACTGCCACTTGGAAGATGGGCAAAGGAGTCGTTCAAAAGGGTGATTTAGAGATCACTCAGAGATCACTAAAGTTGTGAAAGAAGCACGCATCACCTTTCTCATCCTTTTTCACTTTGAGTTTGTCAAAACAATTCGACCCTCATGCCCCCGGGGGCATGACACTCATAACATCCCCGCCCTCAACCGCTTGCTTGTAGAGGAAATCACGTTTTGCAATTTGCTGAGAAAGTCGTGCAAAGCTAGAGCATACCTTGTTTTTGGTGTGGAGTTTGGAGCTTGTTTGACTCAGTCCTAGAAGATTTTTCAAAGTGGATGGTGTTAAACTCCAATCCAGCGAAGTGTCCATTGATCCCAAAGCGGGGATGCTGTTGATCAAGCAAATCTTGAAACACTGCCCTAGAGAGACCATTTCACCGTGAATTCAAGCATGTTTATTGTAGGGCTTCAGATTCTGACGATGTTCTGAGTGTTTTTTTGGACATTCAGGTGGCACTTGTTCAGACCCTTCCACTCACCTTAAGGAGATCAGAAGAGTCAGGTGCCTTTGCCCTACATGTTGACCAACCTGGCGTGGGGCCCTTAAAGCGGAGCTGAGCTGATTGTGCCAAACACGAAAAGATCCTTTGCAAAACTTCAGGTGCCTGGCAAATTGCTTTCGACAACCAGAATTTGAGGTTCTGCCCATAGATCCAACCCGCCAGAAACCAGCTCTGGGACTTGTAGAGCAGAGGCCAAAAGAAAGGTTCAAAGCCAGAATTTGAGGTTCTGTCCATAGATCCAACCCGCCAGAAACCAGCTCTGGG